GCCACCATGCCCAGCTGATTTTTTGTATTTTTTTAGTAGAGACGGGGTTTCACTATGTTGACCAGGATGGTCTCGATCTCTTGACCTCGTGATCCACCCGCCTGGGCCTTCCAAAGTGCTGGGATTACAGGCGTGAGCCACCGCGCCCGGCCTATTTTATTTTTCATAGAGACGAAGTCTCACTATGCAGTCCAGGCTGGTCTGAAACTCCTGGGCTCAGGAGATCCTCCAGCCTTGGCCTCCCAAAGTGCTGGGATTACCGGTGTGAACCACTGTGTTGGGCTATTTGTGTAATTTTTTTAAAAAGAAAATAAGTATTAATAGTAAAATATTCATGCCAGGTGTGGTGGCTCATGCCTGTAATCCTACCACTTTGGGAGGCCGAGGTGGGAGAATCACCTGAGGTCAGGAGTTCGAGATCAGCCTAGCCAACATGGTGAAAATTCGTCTCTACTAAAAATACAAAAAATTAGCCAGGTGTGGTGCTGCACGCCTGTAGTCCCAGCTACTCAGTAGGCTGAGGCACAAGAATCAGTTGAATCCAGGAGGCGGAGGTTGCAGTGAGCTGAGATTGTGTTCTTGCACTCCAGCCTGGGCTACAAAAGCGAAGCTCTGTCTCAAAAAACAAAAAATAAACTTAAAAAAAAGTCCAGATTCTCTGAGTCAGCAATTTTACTTTTAGAATTCTCTCCTAGAGAAATGTTCATATTTGTGTGCAGAGATAGATGTATGAGTGTTCACTGCAGCATGGTTTGTAAGATTAAAAAACTGAATGCTGGCTGGGTGTAGTGGCTCATGCCTGTAATCCCAGCACTTTGGGAGGCTGAGGCAGACAGATCACGAGGTCAAGAGATCGAGATCATCTTAACCAATATGGTGAAACCCCATCTCTACTAAAATACAAAAAAATTAGCCTGGAGTGGTGGCACGTGCCTGCAGTCCCAGCTACTCAGGATGCTGAGGCAGGAGAATCACTTGAACCTGGGAGGTGGAGGTTGCAGTGAACCAAGATCATGCCACTGCACTCCAGCCTGGGCGACAGAGTGAGACTCTGTCTCAAAAAGAAAAAAAAAAAGAAAAAGGAAAAAAAAATGTCAAAAGTAAAACATGGAGGAACAGCCCCGAAAACTGTAGGGCATAGATTATAGGGAGCTTTTACTTTTTTGGTACATATATATGAATTGTTTGAGTTATTTTTTTTTACCACCAGCATGTATTACATTTGTAGTCGGGGAGAAAAAGGATTTTTAAAATATTTCCACAGCTGGGTGCAGTGTCTCATGCCTATAATACTAGCACTTTGGCTTGGCACCCTGAGGCGAGTGGATCACCTGAGGTTGGGAGTTCAAGACCAGCCTGACCAACATGGAGAAACCCCATCTCTACTAAAAATACAAAATTAGCCGGGCATGGTGGCACATGCCTTAATCTCAGCTACTTGGGAGGCTGAGGCAGGAGAATCACTTGAACACGGGAGGCAGAGGTTATTGTGAGTCGAGATTGCACCATTGTACTCCAGCCTGGGCAGCAAGAGCAAAACTCTGTCTCAAAAAAAAAAAGTCTCCAATTCCTCACATTCCATCGAGGGTTCAATCCACTGTAATTTGCCTGTTACCCATCCCACCCTGCTGAAACATTTTTGGCAAAGATTGCCAATGACTCCTGCCAACTGTGTATCTTTCGTTCTCATTTTAATTCTTGAAAGCCTTCACTTAACCTCTGAAATATCACTCAGTTACAGAGGACCTCTGTGAGTATTCCTTTTTAGTCTTTGTGGTTGGCAGAATACTGGCTTCCCAAAAATGTCCACATCTTAATCTCAAGAAACTGTGAATGTTGCTAGGCGCAGTGGCTCACGACTGTAATCCCAACACTTTGGGAGGCCGAGGCAGGCGGATCATTTGAGGTCAGGAGTTCGAGACCAGCCTGGCCAACAGAGTGAAACCCATCTCTACTAAAAATTCAAAAATTAGCCAGTTGTGGTGGTGCACACCTGTAATCCCAGCTACTCGGGAGGCTGAGGCAGGAGAATCACTTGAACTCAAGAGGCAGAGGTTGCAGTGAGCCGAGATCGCACCACTGCACTCCAGCCTGTGCGATGGAGCGAGACTCCATCTCAAAAAATAACAACAACGACAACCAAATTAGCTGGGTGTGGTGGCACATGCCTATAATTCCAGCTACTTGAGAGGCTAAGACAGAAGAATTGCTTGAACACTGGAGGTGGAGGTTTTAATGAGTCCAGTCCGTGCCATTGCACTCCAGCCTGGGCAACAAGAGCAAAACTCCATTTGAAAAAACAAAACAAAAAAAGAGAAAAAAAGAAACTGTGAACATGTTGTTACCTTAAATGGAAAAAGAGACTTTGCAGATACAATTAAATCGAGGATTTGGGGCCAGGGATGGTGGCTCATGCTGTAATCCCAGCACTTTGGGAGGCCAAGGTGGGCGGTTCACTTGAGGTCAGGAGTCCCAAGACCAGCATGGGCAACATGGTGAAATTTGTCTCTGCTAAAACTACAAAATTCAGCCAGTCATGTTGGTGCACGCTTGTGATCCCAGCTACCTGGGAGTCTGAGACATGAGAATCGCTTGAACCAGGGAGGTGGAGGTTGCAATTAGCTGAGATCAAGCCACTGCACTCCAGCCTGGGCAAGAGAGGGAGACTCTGCCTTAAAAAAAAATGAGGATTTTGAGGTGTGAGATCACACTGGATTATCTGGGTGGTACCAATGTAATCACAGGGGTCCTTATAAATAAAAGAAGAAGGCAGCAGAAAAGAATTGTAAAAGGAGATGTGACCATGGAAGCAGGGGTTGCAGTGATAACACCACTGGTTGGAAGGGGGACCTTGAATCAAGGAATGCAGACAGCCTGTAGAAACCAGAAAAGGCCAGAGATTCTCCCGTAGAGCCTCTAGAAAAGAACTCAGCCCTGCTAACACCTTGATTTTAGCCTAGTGAGACCCATTTTGGACTTCTCTCATCCAGAACTATCAGATAATAAATTTGTGTTGCTTTAAGCCACTGTTTGTGGTAATTGGTGACAGCAGCCGTGGGACACTAATGCCGACTTTTTTAATAACTCCTCTTTCTCTGCTCAACTGAAATAGGGTGTTTACCAAGATCTTGCTGTCCTTGTTCAACTTCTCTTACATCTTACCCTGAGTAATCTTAGCTACTCTCAGAATGTCAATTACCACCTAGGAGCAGATGACTCTCAAACATATATCTCCTAAAATATGTGACTTCTCTCCTAAATTCCTGACATGTATTTCTTTCTTTTTTTTTTTTTTTTGAGACGGAGTTTCACTCTTGTTACCCAGGCTGGAGTGCAATGGCGCGATCTCGGCTCACTGCAACTTCCGCCTCCTGCGTTCAGGCAATTCTCCTGCCTCAGCCTCCCGAGCAGCTGGAACTACAGGCACGCGCCACCATGCCCAGCTAATTTTTTGTATTTTTAGTAGAGACGGGGTTTCACCATGTTGATCAGAGTGGTCTCGATCTCTTGACCTCGTGATCCACCCGCCTCGGCCTCCTAAAGTGCTGGGATTACAGGTGTGAGCCACCGTGCCCGGCCCCCGCGACATGTATTTCTAACTACCCACCACAACATCTCCACCTGCCCCAAATGGAATCTTTCTTCCTTAAACTAGTCTTCCTCCTGTATTCCCAATCTCAATAAACGCCACTCCGAGGTTGGGTGCGGTGGCTCACACCTGCAATCCCAGCACTTTGGGAGGCCAAGGCAGGTGGATCACCTGAGGTCAGGAGTTTGAGAACAGCCTGCCCAGCATAGTGAAACCTCGTCTGCACTTAAAATACAAAAATTATCTGAGTGTGGTGGTGGACTCCTGTAATCCCAGCTACTTGGGAGGCTGAGGCAGGAGAATCGCTTGAATCTGGGAGGTAGAGGTTGCAGTGAGCTGAGATTGTGCCACCACACTCCAGCCTGTGTGAGGTGAGACTCCATCTCAAAATAATAATAATAAATAAATATATGAATAAAGAAGTGCCACCCCCATCTGCTCAGTCCACAAACGTAGGAAACTAGACTTCTCTCTACCTCCTCCTCCACAACCCATCAGTTATCAAGAGCTGTGGCTTCTATCTCATTAACTCCATTGCTGCTGCCTTGGCTTCTGTGTTCATCATCTCTTGTCTGGGATACTGCAAAGCACATAGTTTTCTATTCTGTCTCCTTCCTCCACTCCCATAGTGATACTCCTTTCAATGCCCATCTTCAAACCTTATCATTTTTTTCACTGTCAGCATGTTTTCCTTTTTATTTTTTAATTTTATTATTATTATTTTTTAAATGAATGAGAGGTTCTTATGTTGCCCAGGTTGGCCTTGAACACATAGCCTCACCTCCTCAAGCGCCAGGACAACTGGCCCGAGCCACTGTGGCTCCCTTATTTTTTAATCTTAATTTCAATTTTTGAGATAGGATCTCACACTGTTGCCAGGCTGGAGTGCAGTGGTGCAATCATGGCTTACTGTAGCCTTCATCTCTCCAGCTGAAGCAATCCTCCCACCTCAGCCTCAGCTGGGACTATAGGCATGTGCCACCACACCTGGCTATTTGTTTGTTTGGGAGAAGCATAAAAATATTTATGGGGAAGGGGACTATTAATCTTGACCCTTCTAGGTTCAGACTGTGGTCCCCGATTCTTCCAAAGCTCTCTTCTTTTTGGACATTCCACTTTTGTAACCACCTGTCTGTGCCCCTCTTCTTCCCCAGTCTTCTTTCTACGCCAGATGCCTAGATTCTTCTCTAAGTGCCTTTCCCTTCCTATACAACTTCCCCCAGCCCACAGCAAAACAATTTCTAACCACTTACCTCCTCCCCATCTTAGGCATCGAGCCAGATCATTGCCGGTACCCAGGGGCAACACAGCAACAGGAGGCAAAACTGGTAAGTTAGCTTTGTCTGCGGAGGCAGGTGAAGAGAAGGATGGAAAGAGTTAGCTCTGCAAGACTACGAACCCAATCCCTTCCCAGAGCCCCTCCCTGCACTGACCAATGGTCTCTAGAATCCAGCCTACTGTGCCGTCTCCACCACACACCAAAATCCGGCTATCAGGAACATCCTTGAACAATCGGAGCCTGAGACAAAGGGGAGAAAGAAGATGAAGAAGAATAACAGGACTGAGGCTACCCAACTCCTGGGCAGGCAGATTGCTTCTTGTCTCTCATTCCTTAGGACCCTCTCCCCCTTTGTCAAAAGATTTGAGTTTCTATGAAGGGCAGAGAAAAGAACAACAGGGAAATTTATAGCCACTCCTCAGTGGTTAGGGAAAAATTGGTATCTTCATCCTTTTTTTTTTTTTGAGACAGAGTCTTGCTCTGTCGCCCAGGCTGGAGTACAGTGGCATGATCTTAGCTCACTGCAACCTCCGCCTACCAGTTCAAGCAATTCTCTTGTCTCAGCCTCCTGAGGAGTAGCTAGGATTACAGGGACACATCACCACACCCGGCTAATTTTTTTTGTATTTTTAGTAGAGACGGGGTTTCTCTATGTTGGTCAGGCTGGTCTTGAACTCCTGACCTCAAGTGATCCACCCGCCTCAGCCTCCCAAAGTGCTGGGACTATAGGCATGAGCCAATGCGCCTGGCTGGTATCTTCATTCTTTGAGAGCAGGACAAAGATGGGCCAGAGAGCTTGGAGGATGGGATACCCAGTGACCCTAGGGAAAGAAACATTCTGAATTCTGGCCTCTTGGGGACCTCTAGACCTCCTCTCCCAACCTGCACTCTTTCCTGCACTCTTTTAACATATACAGATACACAGACAAAACACTGTGTGTTAGGAGCACAGCCCCTAACCTGTGCTCACCCTATCTCAGGACCATCCTTTAGGAGGTTGAACACTTGTCGAGGGTTTAGTATGTACTGGAACTTCCAGAGCACCCTGTGTGTGGGAAAAAGGAAAGCTTATGGCAGGAGTGAGGGAGGGTGATCTTCTGAACCTCACCCTCTTGATGTTTTCCTCAAGGTATGCCCCTCCAGACACACACATCCCCTTCCACCTTCCAAGTGCTGCAGGCAGGCCCTCCCCTCTCATCTTAGAAGGCCCAATATATCTCTCCTCACCTCTGCCCCTGCTTCCCGCCACTCTTAGGATTGACAAAGACAAGAAGTGGGTGGGTGTTAGGAACAGGGTCAATCTGCATTGGGGGAAGAAAGTAAGGATAAAGAAAGCAAGATTTTGTCAGAGTTAAGGTGAGCCCTGGAGACAGGGGCAGAGGGCTGCCATTCCACCAAGATATTCCCCCCTCCCTCCTGTTTCCCTCCCCTTCCCTCCCTACCACGGTGAAGTTTCTGGAAAGTGAGCAACAACCGCACCCCACCAGGCTCTCCCATTTCATTCCCACTTATGAGGGCTCCAGTGAAAAACCAACCCCCACCGTGAAGCCCAAGACTCTCAGCCCTGTACCCGCAGAGCCTCAGAGGTGCTCAAATCATCCATGGTCTTCTGGCTTGTTTTGCTATTTTTACGATCCGATCCAGTGGCCTGACAGGGGAGGAAAGCAGAGAGAGGGAAAGCCGGATTGTGCATGACTCCCTAAAGAGAGGGGTCTGACTTGAATCCTAAAAGTATGAGTTCTCTATTCTAAATGCCATTCTGTGCGTGTGGGAAATCGGGGAGGCACTCCTGTCCCCTCCCCGCTGCTGCTGCCGAGGGTCTCACCAGGACACTGGGATAGATGGAAGATGGAGGCAGGATGTGATCCCGGAGCAGCCCACAGTCACACTCCTGGCCCACCGCTTGCAGGCAGTCATCGTGGATCTGAAAGACGAGGTGGGCACAGAGAGATCACGAAGGGGACCCTGTCTCCTCTCAACCTGGCAGTCTGCGCTGGAAAGAGCCCTTGGGAGCAGGGGCAACTGTGGCTGTAAGGGAGGGAAGGGTTGGAGGCCCGTGGAGAGCGCAGCTCTGCAGGGCCCTAAGATGTAGCCAGGAGGGATGGCTCCCAAACTGACCTCTAGGTGGCACCATACACAGTGCACCCCAGTTAGACTGTGGTAGATTCGGATCTTTTTCTGACAGCGGTCGCAGCGCCCGGACGCACAGCCTCCTCGCACCCACACATGTGATTGGACCTTGGGGAGAAAGGCAGTCCCTTGTCTGGGAAGGTCTGAGCAGGACCTAGGGGACGGAGGGGCTGAGGGCAGCGATGGGTCAAGGGCCAGGGCCAGGGCCAGGACGGAGGTAAGGTGGCGGGCTTGAGGTCACTCACACCAATGTCCTTCCGAGACTTGGCATAGGTGCTGACTTCACAAGGCAGAGCTTTCATGGCACACTGGTCGTGAACAGTGTACTTACAGACTGAGGGAGAAGGAAGAAGTTGGAAGGCTTAGCTGCAGCCCCTCCCACTATTTCCTCTTTACCTGGGGGTGAGGGAGGATCAGATATGATCTCTTGCTGGAGGGTGTAATAGAGAATTAAAGTTTGGGGTGAGGGGCACACCTCCAAAACCCACACCTTTTCCTTACTCTTCCTCCTAAAAGAGCAGCTGCTACCTCATGCCTGCCCCCACATCATCCATATGCCAGGCAGGAACTGAGCTGGGTGATGCATGGGAGGCCCAGGTCTAACAGCAACAGTAATCATAATAGGTAATTTTTTGGCCGGGCGCGGTGGCTCAAGCCTGTAATCCCAGCACTTTGGGAGGCCGAGGCGGGTGGATCACAAGGTCAAGAGATCGAGACCATCCTGGTCAACATGGTGAAACCCCGTCTCTACTAAAAATACAAAACATTAGCTGGGCATGGTGGCGCGTGCCTGTAATCCCAGCTACTCAGGAGGCTGAGGCAGGAGAATTGCCTGAACCCAGGAGGCGGAGGTTTCGGTGAGTCGAGATTGCGCCATTGCACTCCAGCCTGGGTAACAAGAGTGAAACTCCGTCTCAAAAAAAAAAAAAAGATAATTTTTTATTGCATCTTACAGTATGTACATGCACCATCCGAAGCATTTTCTTGCATCAGCTTTTTTTTTTTCCTGATTAAACATCTCAGGAGCATCAGCTTTTTTTTTTTTTTTTTTTTTTTTTTTTTTGGTTTTTTTTTTTTTTTTTTTTTTTTTTTTTTTTTTTTTTTTTTTTGTGAGACGGAGTTTCACTCATGTTACCCAGGCTGGAGTGCAATGGCGCAATCTCGGCTCACCGCAACCTCCGCCTCCTGGGTTCAGGCAATTCTCCTGCCTCAGCCTCCTGAGTAGCTGGGATTACAGGCACGCACCACCATGCCCAGCTAATTTTTTGGTATTTTTAGTAGAGACGGGGTTTCACCATGTTGACCAGGATGGTCTCGATCTCTTGACCTCGTGATCCACCCGCCTCAGCCTCCCAAAGTGCTGGGATTACAGGCTTGAGCCACCGCACCCGGCGAGCATCAGCTTTTTTAATGCTCACAATTACCTCATTTTCGGTTGAGGAAACTAAGGCTTAAACAAATTATGTGGCTTTCCCAAAGTCACATAACTAGTCACTGGCAGATTCCAGGATTCAAACCTAGCTCTTTCTAAGTTCAGAGCGCAGAGCTCCCACAGATTGCTCGGCTGACCCTCTTCCTCCATCTCCCAGGTCCCATTACTCACGGTTACAGCTCAGCCCCTGTTTGCCGAGACCAATGCTGGACTCGCACAGATTGCAGTAGACTGGTCTGGGGAACCTCTTGGGCCTCCACATGTGCTGTCCATCGTCCTTCAGAGTCTAGGAAGGCACAGCAGATGCTAGGGAGTGTCACAGCCCTTACAGGGCCAACCCTGGCAAGTACAACCCAAGGCAACTATCTTACTCATCCTCCAAAGTCTCTCCTACTCACCATTTCCAGGCCCAGCAGCACTAGCAGTGGCACGGTGGTGGCCCCAGCCCGGACCCACTCAGCTTGAGAGACAGAGCCACTGCCATCATAGTCAATCTGTTTCATCATCTCCTGAAGAATCTGAGCACAGAGTGGAAAGGAGCTTTCGGTATGAATGGGTCTTCAGACCCAGCACCTCTCCACTGCCTCTTAGGATACCCAGCTCAGCTGTCCTAGCCAAGGCAGCCAGGTTGTCTGTCAGAGATGAGGTAAGGCAGATGCAGGACTCACCAAGGAAAAAGATACAAGAAGGGACATGAAGGAAGAGCTGCTTACCGGCCTCAGCTCAGACACATCCCAATCTAGGTATTCAGCCACTCGCATCATCTGTAGGATAATTTTTTCCACTTCCTGGAGGAAAAAGGGCAAGAACCACAGCCATATCCCCCTTGCTATCACCACCCAAACTCTTTTGCAGAAATCAGTGTTCCTGGGTTCCACCCCAGATTTACACCTCTCATTCTCAGGTACGTCTGCCAAGTAAATAAATGTGTTTGTATGTTTGTAAGGCAGCCCCCAGTTCATGTCTCCAGCATTCTCTTTGAGGGATCAAGAGCTTGGGACTCACTTTCAAATTTAGTCCTAGAGGACTCAACCTCTCCCCCCATCCTCTTCTGCTTCTTAAGACCCTGGAAGAGTTGGGGCGGGAGGGTGCAGACAAATGAACACATATTCCCTTGCCCAGCATACAGGGTCCCCAACTCACTGAGCTGTCCAGGATCCCATTTCTGTCCGTGTCGTACAGCTTGAAGGTGACTGTGGGGTGTTGTACAGGGCTAGGGTCAGTTTGTGAAAGAGATACCCAAAGAATTCATACCAGAATATAGGGGAAACAGAGAGACAGGGAGAGAGCTTTTGGGTGAGAAGCCTAGAGCCTGGGACGGGACTGACAAAGAGACAAAAAGGAAGGGAAAACAGGCGTGGATTCCACCCTCAGTGAATGTGTCAGGGGAGACAATACACAATCCATATGCCATGGACATCCTAGGCCACCTACATGGGAATGTACAAGACATGAGAACCGGGGTGGCTATGGTGAAGGGTATTAGGTATAAATAGTCTGGGAGAACAGAGGAAATGGGCTCATTCTCTGGCCCCACCTTTGTCTAGCCCTGTCAGCCTTTAGGAATCCTGAAGGAATGAGGGAAAGGAGGCTGGGAAACACCTCTCTCTCCCTTCACTGTCCCACCAGCTCACTCCAGAAGGGCAACTCACATTCTAACTTGTCTTCTGGCCGACCACCCTCCAGAAGGGAAAAGTAGCAGGAGACATCACTGAGGCACACCATGTCTGGTTACAAAAAAGTAGATCTGAGGTCAGGGTTCTCTCCACTTTGGCTCATCTTTTAGCTTTTGTTTGTTTCACCCCTCCCTTTTTAAAAAAATTCTTTACTAATTTTTT